CCCCCCCCCTGCAGCTCCCCTTCTGGCTGCAGCGCCTGGAGCAGTGTTTCCGAGAGGCTGGCTTCTTGCCTACGTGGATATTTATTCTTCCACTTCCTTGCTCTCCCCCACCCCCCTTAATACGTATTACACTGACAGAATGGTGCTGTGACTCCTGTTACTGGGGTGTCCTCCAAATCCCAAGACCAGCCCTGTGGGGCCTGGGACAGGGAATAGCTCAGGGCCACCCACAAAAGAATGAGTGCTGGTCACTGCTGGAGGCAAGGCAGTCCTGCAGGCCTTTGTTTCGGCAAAGGCTGTCTGGGCCTCTCACTGTCTCCTGGCTGGAAAGCGGGAGATGGGGCTGTCTCTCCCTCAGGGTCAGCCAGGCTCCTTTCTTTTTTGAAACCTTTTCTTCTCCCTTAGTAGCAGCCTCCTGCCCCCAGGGCTTCAGCCACCACAGCTTGTCCCTCTGCTGTGGCAGTGTACAGTGGGGTGCACAGCTTTGTTTCTGCCTGGAGAGAGGCTCTGGGGATGGAGACAAGGAGCCACAGCGCAGCCTTCAGACAGTGAGTCATCTGCCTCCGGCAGCCTGATTCCTCCCCGAGAGCGGGCTGTGGGAGACGAGGGCCCCGACGCTCCGCACACCCTGCACTAGGCTGCGAGTGGCTCTCGCCCACTCCTCCCTCTGGCCACTGCAACCTGTCTGTGAGCTCTCCCCTCCCAGGCTGTGCTGTGGGACTGTCATGGCATTTAGTTCAGAGTTGAGGGGCTTTGGCCTGAAATAAAACTCAAGTATTTAAGACTGTTGTTGCAATTGGTGTCTAACAAGCTGTAGCAGAGAAGGAGGGAGCGAGGGCTGGCAGTACCTTTCATAAATCATGAATTTATCAGCGTGGAAATAATGGTTCCGACGGCACTGCAGCTCTCCTGTACTGTGTGTGGTGCGGGTTCGCCACTGGAGGAAGGTCTGTCTTCCAAAGAGCCGGATCCAGCTCTTCTCACAGTTCTAGGCATGAACCTTGTTAGGTATAATTTACCTGATGTTGCTTCCCTTCTCGCAGCCTGTCTGAGGTGCCAGGTGCTGAAAGAGAAATAAAGTTTGTCAACAAGCAGATGCAAAGCCCTGGCTGGGACTCATCCCTCTTCCCTGCCCGTCTCCCCTGGGTCTCTCCTTTATACGATGCAGCAGAGCAAGGCGAGGATGGGAAACCTACAGAGGCAGGCAAATCCAAAATGTCAAAAGAAGTTCATTTAAAAGGGGGGAAAACTCCACATACAACCCTCACAAAAACCCGACAGATGCTAAGCTAATGGCATCCGCTCTGCCGATTGGTGGGGATGGTTCATGAATATTAATGAGTCCAATGCTCCAAATGGTGCAGCTGTGAACCCAGCTGTGCCTGAAGCTCTCTGATCTCCAAACTTCAGACAGGAGCCGGAGGTGGTCTGTGTCAATTCCCTACTCAGCCAAAAAACAGCAAGCTGGGTTGGCCTTCTTCTGTTCACGCCTCTTCCCGGAGCCGGTGCACAGCAGCCAGTCCTGCCAGCGGGCCAGGCTGCTGGGACAGCAGGAACCACTGGAAGACACGGCTGCGGTTTTTCTGGCTCCTGACTTTTTTAATGATCCATTAACAGCGGTGCATAGAATAGTACCTCGGTTAATCTGAGGCCAGGGACCATCCCCTCACTGCCTTGTGTAGATGATGGGAGAGGAAGGGCGGGCTTTCCTAGGAATACAGGCCTGAGCTTACCAGAAAAACGTCAAAGGTGGATTTTCCTCCAGGCAGTGCCATCGGCCTAACATTTTGCTCTGACCCTGTGTCTAACACTGGTCAACAGGTGACCTGAATCCTGGAGACCTGCCTAGTTCATAGAATGAAAGTTTAGTGGGCCTGGTTTAGTCACTTCTGATAGCCGCCTCCAGGGCCCAATGCTAGCTACCCCATGTGAACCAGGATAAGTGTGTCCACGCTCCCGAGTTCGGTTCTGTTTGGTGGAACGAAGAGTGCGTATGTCTACGTGGATGGAGGAGGACCTGAGTTTTCTTGTATGGAAATATTTCAGATGCATCCCTTTACTTTAGTGCCCAGGGAGGAAAGCAGGGCAAGTGTTATGCTCATTTTCTGCCTGAGGATGGCTTTTTATTATTTTTTTTAAGGTTTATTTATGCATACAAGAATGGGGTACAGGCCAGAGGTCCGTGTGTGTGTGTTGGGGGGGTTGCTGAGAGGATTCACCAGAGGGGAGCAGAACAGGCAGATCTACTGAAATACATTGCTGAGGGGAGCAGTGGGCAGGACGGGAGAGGTCTGCTGTGCCATGTGGGTCAGCTCCCTGGTCGAGGCTCGAACTCCTGCAGTGGCTGTGGACAGCTTCATAGTGCTGTGCTTAACTTCTTGTGCCACCAGGGAGGCCCGAGGATGGCTTTTTAAAAGCACGTGTTTAGGCAGTAAAGTTAATTCAGGTGAGAGGTGCTTTCCAAGCTCTTTAAGGCAGGCTTCTTTTCCTACCAAAACCTAAAATAAACCCACTACTGTTTTAAGGGGAAAAATATTCCTCAGCAGAGCTTTACAGTTTTTCTCAGAAGCCAGCCCTCAGTTTAGTGATGGCTAAGATCTTAGTTCCCCCACACCAAGTCCTAGGCACCTGTACCCTCTGGAGCTTTGGTTGGGATGCGAGCATGACTGTTCGATCACCCAATTCGACCTTGGCCTCTACAGAGCCGAATTCTATGTTAATGAATTTGCTTCCTCAGCTCTTGCTGAATATCCTTAATTCCTAGGGGTGGGGAGGACATTGGGCATGAAGATGTGAAGTGGGGTTGGAGGTAGAATGGAAACCCGCCAGCTCCTGCCTGCCTCATCCAGGCCGAGGGAGCAAATCAGTCAGGACGGGAGTGGCGTCTGGATTTACACGTGAGCAACCAGCTGAGAAGCTGCTGAAGCCAACCACTGCAGCGCGTGATCTGACTGCTTAGGCAAGCCTGGGCACTGATCCTAACTCCCTCCAGAGGTCCCTTTGCCAGCAGGGACTCAGCTCTGTAGAGGCCACGGTGCTCGCTCTGTGCTAGCAAACTTTCTCTGAACTGTGGGTGAACATCCCTCTTCCTGTGCCTCCCTCTGCCGCCTTCCCCAGGGTCTCCTCACCTCGCTTTGGAAATCCCGTCAAGCACCTCATCTCTCACCTACTCCTTGCCTCAACTCTTGTCTCTAAGGAACTTTTCAGGCACTGCTACAAAAATGCAAGATGCATTTGATTTACCAAGAGGGCAGCAGAAGCCAGTCAGCTTACTAAGGAAACAACTAAGCAAAGGAGGAAGAAGACAGGAGCTTTTGCCCAGCAAGGAGAGGAGCAGGAATAGTAAGTGAGAGAACTAGAATTGGAGAACTAAGGGGCTGCTGGAAAGGCTTGAAGGTGTTTTTCCCTTGGACGGGGAGAAGCACGAGGCACTCCAGAATCTGGGTTGTGAGAAGTCACTAGTGACATTTCTTGGGTTGTGAGAAGTCACTAGCTCCTTCCTGTCCTTTGGGTAAGCGCTTTCACCTTCACCCCACCCATTTGAAGGGGCTGGCTGGTTTGGGGCTTCCCTAAGTGCTCTAGCCAGGGCAGCCCTCTCCCGGTGGCCATGCTGCTGTGGAAAGCCTGGCCGCCAGCAGCCTGACCCGACGCCCTCCAGCAGTAGGCCCAGGATAGTGAGAGCCCGAGGCGGATTGTTGGTGGCAACACAACCTGCCTGCGATAAGCTACGAGACTTAGATATATTCTACCAATTAGGGCACATCTGTTCGGGATGCTGAAAGGCGGGCACTGCCTCTTTAAGAGCCATCCCACTCCTCCTTGAGTGATGAGGGCTGGGAGCACAAGGGAGTCAGATGCTGATTAAACAGTCCTACTGCCGAGCTCTGTTAGAAAATTACTGTAATTATGATCTAGTCCCAGCAGAGGGATGAGTTCCAATCCTGCTAATAACCCTTCCAGGTGCCTCCGATTCAGGGCCCCTGGGACGCCTCACCGACAGGGCTTTGGCACCGGGGCTGTGATGGCCCGCCTGTCTGGCCTGTGCAGGCGAGACAATGAAAGCACCGCACCCCTCATCCTATCTTGGCCCCTGGAGAAAGCAGTGGGGTTTTGTTGTGTTTGCTTGCTTCTTGATGGACCCCAAATGATTGGGAGTCATTTTGCATAAGAAACTTCCCCCTGAACTAGAATGAAGAACCTCACAGTGGGGGCTGGCAACCTGTCCCGACTTACCCAGTCTCTGGCTGGGAACAGGAATTGGCCTGCACCAGCCCAGCAGGTGCTAGGCGGAAGAGCCAGTGCAGCCCCCAGAACCCAGACCCAATGTCTCCTGCGTCGTGTTTCTACCCACTTGTATTTCTCGCTTTGAAGTAGCCCACAGCTTCTCACCCAGTCCTGATAAGAGTTTCAGGACTCCAGCCACTGTAGCATGGGTTTGATTCCGGATCAAGGTGCTACCCACATGGCCCAGCAGACCCCTCCTGTCTCACCCACTGCTCCCCTCAGCAGTGAACTTCGTCCATCTGCCTGTTCTGCTCCCCACTCTGTCTGGGGAATGCTTTCACCCCGCCCCTGCTCTTCTGGCCTGTACCCCAGTTCTTGTATGCATAAGGAAATAAATCTTTCAAAAAAGGTTTCAGGGTTCCTTGTTAGGGAACCAGGGCAGGTAACTCCAGAGCTCTAACGTGATATGCACAGTCATGCAGCTCTCTCAGTCGGCAAGCGTGGGCCTATTTATTAAAACATCTTCAC